AAAGAGTGTCCCGGCGGGCTCGACGAACGCCCCGTTGCAGCTGCCCCGCGAGGAGTCCCTGCCAGGGACCCGCTGTGCGCCCCGGGCGGGCTCGGAGTTCGTGTGCCCTCTCCCCGCAGACCATGGCGTGGTTCCTGAGACTCTGCACTTGGCTGCTGGCGCTCGGCCCCGGGCTCCTGGCGACCGTGCGGGCGGAATGCAGCCAGGACTGCGCGACGTGCGTCTACCGCCTGGCGCGCCCGACCGATCTCAACCCGCTGGTGAGTGTTCCGCGCGGCGCGGGAGCTGGTAACCGCGACCCTGCGCGGACAGCCCGGGTCCGCCGCGCGGCGCGTCTCGTGGTCACAGCCGGCGCGGACCCCTGGTGACCCAGGCGTCCCGACTGTTCGCCGAACGCTGACCAAGTAGCTCTCGGGACCGGCGGCTATCTAGGGACCGGAAAGGGCGGCGGGGTCTCCGCGCAAACCAAATTTGTTTTCAACCCGGGGAGGTGGGAGCCCCGAGCTGTACTGTCTTCAGCACCTCGGAGAGCACTGGGTTGTCGCCTCACCTGCCGCCAGGAAGATGCTCAGTTACCCCACCTCCTCACGTAGCCCACCAAGGGCTCCTTCCGCACACAGCCATCTTCCCATCCTTCCCGCAAAGAATATAGACTTTTTTTGTCAGTGATATTCCGCTGCCTTTATTCGAATGTCATTTCTCTAGCCCTTTTAAGCTCAAGTCTCTCAGACCCTGACCCTCACTTGGCGGGTACGAGAGAGCAATGGGATGGGGAAGGGATAAAGGGAGGGGAGGAAGGGAGAGCGCAGGAGGCTGGAGAGAAAGAGGTCAGGCAGCAAGTGATGCTGGAATTCAACTTCTGTCTTGTCTAGAACGAACTTTTGTAACACCTACTAAGACAGCAGTTTACTTTGGCTATGAAGAGGGCACAGGAGACGTGGCGGAGTCCAAAGAGGTGGCCGCAATGCAAAGATAAATTACACAGGGGCTTGGGGTGGGGGGGAATCTAAGGTCAAAAGAACCGTCTTTCTAATCATAGTCTGTGTGCTCTTGAATCACTCCTGTTGCTCTACTGAGTCAGAATCTCTGAAGCTGGGACTCAGGAAGCTTCATTTTAACTAGTCCCCCCGATAATTCCTTTGCACTGTCTCCTCAATTTGTTGAACTTCTGTGATAACTTAAGTTGGGGCAGAGAATAATGTATTAATCCAAAGAGTTCAGCTCCTCACTAGAGCTTTTGAAGCAATTTTATTATGTAGATGCGTAAAACAGGGACAAAAATTAAGGAAAGGATTCCACAAAACCCAAGGTGTATATTTCAGGTTAAATGTTTCTTCATTCCATTTGGATTACCTGATCCACTTCATCTGACAAGACAAGAAGTAGGGCTTTATATTTAAACTCTGAGAAAAATGCTGCATCTTAAGTAGGGGTAACAATCCCCTTCATCCATCTTTTTTCTTTCTGATTTGTTTTTGTTTAACTGGTTAGTTTTCTATTGAAGCTTACATTTAGGATTGTTATTTTCTCTGTGAAAAAAGGCTTGTTGATGATTATATTGTTAGAATTATAGCAGCTCTGGAATTTTCACTTGGATGAAAAAGACACATGAGAAATTAGGCTGCTTGGCCAGAACTATGTAGTAAAATCAATGTAACACATATTTATTGAGTTATTGAGTTTCTACCATGTGAAAGACACTTGTGATTCATTCTGTGGTGGATACAAAGATGAGCAGGCATGCCATGATTGATGTCCAAATTGAATTCACCCTCTAACACAGAGGGTAAATAATACAAAAATGTACAGATGGCTACAGGAGCACATAAATATAAATTAACACCACTTCCATTCTGTGACTGTGCTATTCCGATGATTTGCCATTATTTGTTTTTGAAGGAATCCCTTTTAAAAAGCCTTTTGGTAACAGTATACAAATATTCAACATTAATTTCTGGCCAACAGATTATTTAAATTTCATTTTAGGATGGAAATATTCTTGACAACTGAACATCTTAAATTTTTAATGATGTTTTGATTTCTTAATCAGATGTCAAGAATAAAACAGAACCATTTTAATTAGATCTTTAGATTTTTATATATGCATATATTTAATTTTCTTAGACACAAAGAAAATTAATAAATAAATCATTAAGAGCTGCTTAAATATATACCCTAAAGAATTTTGTTGCAGTAATAAAATGCTTCCTTTCATTGTGAAAATAATGTGTGTATTTCATATTAATAAATATATATATATATTTTTTTTTTTTTTTTTTCGGTACG